TTGGAAGGGTGAGCTGGTGGGAACCATCACGGCCTTTCACTTATGTTTAACCGATAGGACCTCGTTCCTCCCTCTCAAAGAGGTTGAAATGGTTTTTGTCTTCGGCTGAGACGACTCGGGACAAGGCTCAATTCCCTCGGGGTAGGTGAGGCGACTATGCACGCTCACCTCCCTTGGTCTTAAGACATTCGTGAACGTTCGCGAGCAGGCTCTTGCCACACGGAGGTTGTATTGCTGCTTTTGTAGCTTCGGGAGTCCCGGGTTTTGGAATTTTTGAAGAACTGAGGGTTCTTTTCCTCTCCCATTCGGTCCTCCAAGTGTCCTCCTCCCATTTATTCCCGAGCTCCTTGAAGGATGGAGCTCGTCCACTTTCCTCTTGGCCAGTCCTCCTTCTCAGGTTTCTTGGCGGAAGAGGTGAGTGGTCACGGGGTGGTGGAAGGTTGCCTCCTTGGACCTTCATGAGGTCCATGAAGACCGCAACAACACATGTCACTTCCTCCGTAGAGGGCCCCGTTTGAGGAGTTGTTCTCGGTTGAGACCGAGAATGGAAACTTCGAGGGGAACTTTTGCATTGGACTGACTCGGCCGATAGGAGCTGGTCGGCTGGCGAGTATGATGGGATGGTGACCTCTCCGGCGCTAACCTTTCCGGGGAAGAGCAAGGGAGCTTTCGAAGAAGAAGAAGAAGGTTCTGGTGATGGTGGAATAGGTGGATTCCTTCTCACCGTAATTGGACCTTTCCTCGAAGAGGAAGGGTCGTTTTTCTTATTACTCTTTCCGCTCTTAGACATTTTTGCTAAGATTGGTTGATTTTTAACTTGATTTTGAATGTCACTCCGCACAGACGACGCCAAATTGTTTCGGGTGAAAACAATAGGACCTTCGACCAGGCCCTTTTAAGGGCTGAAGACTGATCTCGGTCTAGGTTATGAATGGGCCGAGGATTTCCTGCACAACAAATACACGTAAACTGGCCTCGGGGGTTGTGCTGAGAAAGGCCCCTCCGATGCCGAAGTCAGTACAGTGTTAGAGAGAGAAAGCTATGCAAGAGTATTAATTGCTTGAGGCTTTTTCTAAATGAATGTAAAGAGAGACAAATGAAGGCTTTTATACCTTTGCTTAATGGATGAATGGACCTTAGACCAAGTGGGCTTACCACCTTGATTGGGCCTTGACTGACTTGGCATTTGTTTGGGCTTTTGTAATTAAAACATTTATGGACCGGCCCAATTGTAATGAATTGGACCCAAACAGTAGCTATTAAAAAAAAGTATTAGTTGTTTCGGGGTTTTCCGTGTTCCTCGGGAGAGTTACAATTCCAAGACTAGATTCCGGGCCCCTGTACCTGCAAAACAATGGAGACTCCGGTTGGCTGGAATTCTGCCTCCGACGATCAAGTTAGAACGTGTATGGAGTCAGTAAAGAGTGCGGAAAGTAAAGTATCTTCTCGGATTCCGAGGTCAAAAGTAAATATCTGCAATTAATGATTGCTCTGTTTTTGTGAATATTTTTGAGTGTTTTCCCATGGGGGAACATCTCTCTATTTATAGGGTCTCAGGATGCATGCCGCCATCCTAGGTTACGGAAACCTAGGAATGGTGGGCTTTCTCGGGAATTGGAGCAGGAAAGCCGCCTTTTTCCCAATGACTGGGTGTGCCACGTGTCAAGAGAGGATTGGTTCTTTTGAACCTCTCGTAAGGTGACACGTGTCACCATCTGATTGGTCCACGTGGCCCTGGGTATTTTTACCCAAAACATATGGCCCTCACAGGTGTGACGTGGCGTGCCATGTGGCATCTGTGACACTTGTCACTCGGTCGTTGGTGATCAGTTTTAACCATTTGTCTTTTAGGGAAATTACGGGGATGCCCCTTGAATTACCCTTCCTTAAGTAACTTTTTACCCTTCCCATTTTTGGACATTTCCAAGAAATTAGAGAGAGAGTCAGTCGTTTTTTACAGAGATAAACTCTAACAACCGCCTGATGTAGTCCTTGGTGCCCCGAATGGTTGGACCCCCTCCAGCAAAGTCGCCTGCTATTGTATAGATCGACTCTTCATTAGTGTCCAAGCTAATAGCAAGTTGGGCTGCCTTTTTGGACGGTTGTCCATTGTTTGTTTTTAGGGTCAACTTGGACTTTAGGATGTAGGACTTCAGCACCCCTTTATCAGCCAAACAGTCCAACAACCGTTTAAGGCTATAACAGTTGTTGGTGTTATGACCTATGTCCTCATGGAAATGACAATATTTGTTCTTGTTCCGATTTTTTAAGGAATCCTTCATTGCAGTCGGTTTGTCAATAGTCACCCGATCTTTGATCTTCATGACGACAGAGTAGCAGTCCTTGTTAAACTCGTACTTAGGAACATACGGTTTAAACTCTTTTTCTGAGATGGCTGCTCCGAGTAATCTACTACACCGACTTCCTTTCTCTTCTTACTCTCTTCTTTTTTAGCCGGCTGAGCAGACCGACTCTCTTTTTTGTCAGACTTATTAGGGTCTGACTGCTTACTAATGGCACAAAGCTCAGTCGCTTGTATATAGGCTTTCGCCTCCATCAGGGCTTCTTGGAGGGTAGCAACCCTCTTCCTCACGAGATCGAACTTAAAGGTCGATCCGTCTTTCAGACCTTTGAAGAAGTCTGTGTAAGTCATTTCATCAGACATCCCTTGAATCTGAATTCTCATCAGATTGAATCGCCTGACATAGGACCTTAGCCCTTCTCTATATCCTTGTTGTATGGCACTCAAGTCCAGGCTTGTTTTCTTAGCAGGGATGTTCATAGAGAGGTTAGATACAAACAAGTACGTAAGCGTCTTGAAGCTATTGATGCAACTGGCTGGCAAGTTACCAAACCATCGTTGGGCAATGCCCTTCAATGTAGCCGAGAAGCATCGGCACCAAGTGGCATCATCCAACTGCTGTAAGTACATGAGGTTGGTGTAGGCCATCAGGTGATCTTCAGGGTTGGTGGTACCATCATAAGTACCTACCAACACATTCTTAACCTTGGCCGGCTGGGCCGCCTCGGTTATCTCCTTGGAGAATGCAGAAGGTTGTTCCCCAAGTTTGAGCAGACGAAGCTTCCAGTCCAAAGGTTGGACATTCTGTGCCGCTTGGCCCCCAAAGAGAGTCGGCTGCATATATTGTTGCCCATACTGCATGTATGGCTGCTGAGGCACATACGGAGCCGAGTGGATTATCTGAGGGCCAGAGTGGATGGACAGGCCGCCTGACTGACCCTCTCGGTTTGATTGCGAGGTATTCTGAAAGCTGTCTGGGTAAGTCGACGTTGAGGTCGATTCAGATAGCTGCTGACTTTTCTTCTGCTGGATTAACATCCGGGCGTCAGAATAAGTCTTCTTTGATCCATCCGGCTGAACATGCCGGATGGCCTTCCTCTTCCCTGTTTCAGGGAATCGGATCTTAGACAGCTCAATCAAGGGTCGGTTCTCATCCTTTGGTTTGGGATGCGGAGTAGGCACTCGGTCCTTGACTGGCTTTTTCTTCTTGGCCGACTGACCCCTGCTGGAGCCAGCCGTCTTCCTGTTGATTAGGTCCTTGATTTCCCCTTTGAAACTTGTCATGAATTTCATGAGTTCATCTCTAGTATCTAGAGCTGCGCCTTCTGCCGCATGGGGTTATCTAGACGACTGTCCGATTGGCTCGCTTGGATCAGCTTGATCTTCGCCCCGTTCCCTTGTTTCCATGGGACGAGTGCGCCTGGTTCTGAGTGACCCGTCTGGGGCCACATAGGTATGGAGTCAGTAAAGAGTGCGGAAAGTAAAGTATCTTCTCGGATTCCGAGGTCAAGAGTAAATATCTACAATTAATGATTGCTCTGTTTTTATGAATATTTCTGAGTGTTTTCCCATGGGGGAACATCTCTCTATTTATAGGGTCTCGGGATGCGTGCCGCTATCCTAGGTTACGGAAACCTAGGAATGGTGGGCTTTCTCGGGAATTGGAGCAGGAAAGGCGCCTTTTTCCCAATGACTGGGTGTGCCACGTGTTAAGAGAGGATTGATTCTTTTAAACCTCTCGTAAGGTGATCAAGTCACCATCTGATTGGTCCACGTGGCCCTGGGTATTTTTACCCAAAACATTAGTAGTGAGGTGTTCAAATCCGGATACCTAGGTTTTCGGGTACTCGAAAAAGCGAGTACCCGGATTTTCGGGTAGTTTAAAACTCGGCCCATGTCCTAACCTGAGAAAACTGGATACCCGAGTTTCGGGTACCCAGTTATTCCAGGTCGGGTCATAGGGTACCCGAATTTATTAACTTACTATATTTTTATTTTTAAAAAAATAAAAATCTTTCATGGTTTTACTTGATACTATGTACTTCGTATAAAACACATTACACATACTTCCTCCGGTTTCGGTTATTTGCAACATTGGTACCGTTTACGGATACCAATGCAAAACTTTTAGGAGGTGTTTAGTAGTGGAAAATTGGGTAGTGGGGTAGGTGATTAATAAATTAAAAAAGGAGGGAAAGATATTCTAATTTAATGAGGAGAGAGAAAAAGAGAAACATATGGTCCCAAAATTTCAAATAATTGGGGGTATTGTGGCCCCAATTATTTTGGCACCATTTTTTCCCCTTCAAAATTTTTTCCCTCCTGTTTTTTCAAGTCAGGTCCCAAATGATAAGAGGGCAGCACCGAAATTTTTTTTCCCACCAAATCCAAATTTACAAAACCCATTCAAATTTCCCTCCCCCCTTTAAATTTTTCATTCAAAGATGGGGCATTTAAAGCTACCAGGAAAACAGTTGAGAAATATTCTTTACAAAATTTGTGTCCTACATTCCAGACACAAAAATCAGTCCCAAAATGAATGTTCTGCCTAAATTCCAGACATAAAAATCTACTAAGTTAGTTGCAGCTTCATCTTCTTCTTCCCTGGTTCAGTAACAGCAACTCAATCAAAAAACAGCTCCCACACCTCATCACCAGTACCTGACAACTGGAACTCAGTAAAATTAGTAATTTGAACATGTCAGATTATGCAAATGATCCATATTTTGGCATTGATCAGATGCTGAACAATGAAAACAGTATGGGACAAAGTCAAGCAAACCACCAAGAAGGGACTGAACTGAATGACAGCAACAGCAATCAGCATGAGGGTTCATGTCAGGGACCAACAACAAGAAAACAACTGACTACTCAGCAAAAAAGGGAGCTGGTAGATGGTTTTCTACTTAAGTTAGAGGGGGTGGGAGTTGCCCAGAGAGTACTTATCAGAACAAGCAAGAAAATTCAATGTACACAGGTCAACCATCCTGAGATTATTTACAGACATCAAAACACAAATGGCACAGGGCAATGTCATAGATGTGAGAAGCAAGAAACTAGGCAAAACAGGACCCAAACCCAGAGAGTACACTGATGAGTTCCTACAGTCAGCACCATTGAATAAGAGGACAACAGAGAGAAGCTATGCATGTGCTCTCAAGATCTCACATTCAGCCATCCATAAGCTAAAGAAACAAGGAATATTGAGAACACATACAGCAACAAATCACCCAGCATTGACATCCAATCACAAAATAGCAAGAATGAAATGGGTGTTAACTCATTTACTGCCAGCCACTCAGAATGGGGATTGCAAATTTGTGGACATGCAACAAGTTATCCATGTAGATGAAAAATGGTTCTACTTGAACCCAGAAACAAGGAGGTTCTACCTTCTACCAAATGAGGCAAACCCATACATGTGCCAACAGTCCAAGAGGTTCAAAGTTAAAGGTATGTTCATGGCAGCAATTGGCAAACCCATATTTGGTCCTGATGGAGCATTAGTACATGATGGAAAGTATGGAATTTTTCCATTTGTCTATGAAAACATAGCAAAGAAAAAAAAGCAAAAACAGGGATGCTGGTGCTGTGGAAATCAAGGCAACACAGAATGTCAACAAAGAAGCCATAAGAGCAATGCTAATCAACAATGTCATTCCATCAATCAAAGCTAAATGGCCTGCCCATCTACCCAAGGACATATTTATTCAGTGGGATAATGCCAGACCTCATCAAATTCCTAGGGATGAGGAATTTGAAACAGTTTGTCACTCTGAGGGATTCAACATTCAATTCATTTACCAACCAGCTCAGTCCCCAGATTTAAATGTGTTGGATCTAGGGCTATTTAATGTAATCCAATCAATACAATACCAATCCTTCCCAAAAAACCTAAAGGAACTCATTGAAAGAGTGACAGAGGCTTATCAGATGTTCAACCTAGAGTTGAACAAGCAAATTTGGATAAGTCTACAATGTTTTATGGAAGAAATTCTGATAAACCAAGGAGGGAATAACTTTATCCCTCCCCACAAAGGCAAAAAAAGGCTTGAGAGGATGGGGATGCTGCCAGAGCAACTGGAGGTGGACAAGAATGTGGTGCAACAGGCTGTTAATTACCTCAACAGCATTTTCATACCAGTTCACCAAGGCCAAGGTATTGAAGAAGATGAAGCTATGCAAGTAGATGCTGATTGAACTCAACTCAAACAAATGAAGAAGATCAACAGACTGAGACTGCCACACATAACCATTGAAAATCAAACAACAAGCATGCAACACAGTATGTGCTGTTTTGATTAAGTATACTGTGTCAATCATTGGTTAGGTGTCTTTTGTTTAAATTTTTGCAAACTATTATTGTAAGGCAGTCTTAAGATCCTATTGTTGGGAAATTTACAAGTTTTAGGTAAGTGTTACCACTTCATTGATGGTTCAATTATTTACAAGTGTTTACAAACAAGATGAGTTATATGTGCAAATCAGGCTGAAAGCATCATTCCATTAGATGGGGGTTTTTTTCACATACATTACATAACTGGTTCCCTCAACAACAACTCTTATATGGAGTTGTTGGAGCAATTCCTAGTTATGAATGTTAAGTGTCAAATGAGTCCCTTCATCACTTGGATTTTGCAGGCACACACAACACAACACACTGAGGGACTCTATTCACCTAGGGACAGGTATCACATGGGGGGACTCATACAGGGACACTCATGCAGGCAACCTATTGGTCCTCATTCTGTGCACCAGCCTCAAGACAACAAACACAACATAAACAGGCCAACCACCTTCCCACTATTTTTTTTTTGGTTAACCATCCCAACCACCAAGCAAACCACAAACAAGAATCAATATCATGCAGAGCATGTCAACCAGCAACCAACAGAATTCCTCACAGGTGAGGATGCACAACAAGCCACCAATACATCTAACAACTACATACAAATTATCTGCACCAGCCTCAGGACAACAAGCACAGCCTACACAGCCCAACCAATTTTCTACAATTTTAATTTTTTTTTTTAAAATCCCAACCACCAAGCACACAACTAACCACAATGAATAGCAGACAGAGCATGAATAGGTCAACCACCAGCCAACAGAATTCCAAACAGGTGAAGATGCACAACAAGCAAGCAATACAGCCAACAAATTACAAATTATGTGCATCAGCCTCAGGACAACAAGCCCAACAACCATCCCACTCAATAATCCCACATTTACTAGCAATCAATCTCAATTTGGATACAGAGCAACCAGCATGAAATACCAACAACACATATACTACCAATCAATCTCAATTAGGGCAACCAGCATGAAATACCAACAACACAGTTAATAGCAATCAATCTCAATTAGGGCAACCAGCATGAAATACCAACAACACAGTTACTAGCAATCAATCTCAATTAGGGCAAACAACATCAAATTCCAACAATACAGTTACTAGCAATCAATCTCAATTAGGGCAACCAGCATGAAATACCAACAACACATATACCACATACTTAATATGGAAATAAGCATGAAAATCAGGCTACTCAACGCAAATTTTTCAAAGAACGCCACATCAAATCAAGAGAAAAATCAAAAACCATGAGATAAAGGACTGAATAAGAAGTAGGTTAAGAAATGCGTTACGCTGCTAGATTAGTTGGTGGTAGTGGTGAAAGGGTTGCAAGACCCTGCACTTTCAACACTGTAAGCCTTAGGGGACTCAGATCTGACGCGCTTTTTTCCAGAGTACTCTTGGGTAGTCTTAGATCTGACCACTCCCACCTCCTCCGCAACGGATCTGGCCTGGACAGAGGTTGCAATTGGCGTTTCATCATCATCGCTGTCAAGAACAACAATTTCAGGAGGCTTATTGACGAAAACCTCAACGTCTTTGCCCAGATCTGGTTTCGAAGCCTGACCACGCTCCTCATCGGAGACGTAAGGAGTCAGCTTTGCACCCCCTCCAGTTCGACGTTTCATATCAAGGTACATTGCAGTGCGCGTACCTATCAAATGCATCCTCCCCGTGCGTGGGTGGCACTTGTAGGTGGCAATAATGTCAGGATCTTCCTTGTTTTGGTTAGGGGAACTCATTTTTCAGAAATTTTGGAAGAAATAGGTAGTGGAAAGCCTAGATCTGCCAATTTTAGGGTTTCGAAATGGAGAGAGAGTGAGTTAAAGAAGGAAGTAACAGTGAGAACAGTGAGAGTGAAATAGCAAAAGACGAAAACAAGGAATAAGTGGTGTAGAAAGGGGGAAGAACAAGGATTTTGAACAGCCGCCATTAATGGTGGTGGGTAGAACTTGCATTCAATATGGTGGTTGGGAAGATGAACACTGAGAGGGTAAATGGGATAGGATGGGAACCCTAAATTTTTGGTGGGAATGGTTATATTAATTGGGTGGGTATTAAATTTAGGTAAGTAGAGTTAATCTTGTGATTAGATTATAATCAGTTTTTTTTAGGGCGTTACCGTAATTTGACAATTAAAAAACCAAATATTGAAAAAAAATCTATTTGTTGCAAATAATAGCAAACACCCCAATAAGGTAAATGTTGCAAATAACCGAAACCGGAGGAAGTAATTATAATCATCATTTTGTCAAATGTAATCAATTAAAATAAAATAATTTTAAAAAAAAATAAAAAATACAAGCTTATTTGCAATGGTGTGGCCAGATCTCATGCTTGGTATTGTCAAGCTAAATTCAGATCTCTTGATGTAAATACGCTGTGATTTGCTAGGCTTGTGCAATGGTGTTGCGGATGGCCGTGTGAGAAAGAGAATGGTGGCTGCCAAAGTTTTGAAACTTTGAAAGGGGAAATAAAACCCTACTAGCAAAATATAAAAAAAGAGAGGGGGGGGGGGGGGGGGGGGGGGGGGGGGGGGAGGGAGGTGGGGCAGTAGTTGTCGTTGAGAAACTTTGAATATCATACTCCTACCACTTTAATTCAATCATTTTTATTTTGTTTTTTATTTTTTAATAAATAATCTGTTGTTATTTACTGTCACAAAGAGTGAAAGAGCACCCCACTGTCTCGGTAATGAGTAGACGCTGCCGCAAAGCCCTTGATTCTCAATTTCTATTATCTTAGCAATCCATGCCACTGTCCTAGGATACTAAGCTTTAAAAAAAAAAAAAATACTAAACTTTGACGAGTCAGCGGGTACCTGCCTAGTACAAGGGCGGCCCATGACCCGGCCTGCTACACTTATTTTTATCGGGTTGGGTACCCGACATGTGAAATTTGAAAAAATATAAAAATTACCCGTTTTAAACTTACCGGGTTAGCGGGTTGGGTCAATCGGGTCGGGTATTTTTGAGCACCCCTAATTAGTAGTCCCTCCATTGTTTTTTGAAGGAAAATTGCTCGAAATAATCCAACCTTTGTCTCATCCGCTCAAAATAATCTCATCTTTCGATTATTTTTTAATAATCCGACCTTTATACCTCTTCTGCTTTAAATGGTCCTAACCGGTCATCTAATTTGTTATTACAAGTTACTAGACACGTGTCAGCCTATGATTGATTAAAAAAAATTAAAAAAAAATAATCTTTTTTTAATAAATATAAATAAATATTAAATAAATAAAAAAAACAGAAAAATAATAATAAAAACCTCCAAACCCAGATTCCGGCAGCCCCAGCCACCGGCCTCCTACCCAATTCCGGCCACCATCTCCCTTCCCCTCTCCGATTCCGACCAACTCCTTTCCCCTTCCCGATTCCGGCCACCCCTTCCCCGTTTCCGGCCGACCCGACCCCAGCACCAGTCCGCAACACCTACTGCTGTTGCTTCTTCGCAAACGCGCCACCTACAACACCTACTGCTGCTGCTTCTCCTTAGCAAACGCACCACCCACAAACCCGCAACACCTACTGCTGCTGCTTCTCCTTTGCAAACGCGCCTCCCACAAACCCGCAACAACATCACAACCACTCTCCCCGCAGCAAACATCAAACGAACCCACCATTGCAATCAGTCGCCACCCACCACAACTACACCAACAACCGCCGGCAGACACCACAAACTCGAGCAGCCGCTTCGAACGGCCACAAATCAGCCCGAAAATCGCAAATTAAACCCATCACAGCCGCCATTCTTAAGGGAAAGGGACAGTTTCGGTGGGTGGGCTAGGTAGAGGAGGTGGTTTCGGTGGTGAGTCTGCCGAAGAGAGGGTGGCCATTGGTTTTTTTTTTTCCAACAATTTTTTTTGGAATAATTTTTTTTTTTAGATTGTGTGGTGACACGTGTGCAAACAATCCCAAGTCACAAATGGTAATGTGTTTAGTCAGCTTCAAATCACTTGGGACCATTGGGAGCGGATTGGTTATAAGGTCGGATTATTAAAAAATAATCAAATGGTGGGATTTTTTTGGTAGATGAGGCAAAGGTCGGATTATTTCGGGCAATTTTTCCTTTTTTAAATGTTATACTTTGACTTTTTTTCACTATTTAAATAATTATACGAAATATTGATTTTCGCACACCTTTATATAAGAATAGCAATGAAAATAGTGCTCTCAGAATAATGGACGTGTCAAAATCATTTTGGGAAATTCTCAATGGTAGCCCCGAACTTTTGGCAATTCTCAATGGTAGCCAGTTTTTTAAAAAATTCTCAATGGTAGCCCTGAACGTTTTAAAAAGTTGCTTCCGTAGCCTTTATGAGTAAAAAAACGTTAAGTTTCTGTTATTAAGTGGTCATTTCGGTTGTTAGGTTAACTAAAGCTAACTAAAGGTTATTTTAAAAGGTTAACTAAGCCTTCTTTCAAATTAAAAAAAAAAAGGTTAACTAAGCCTGGGCCACGAACGCAGCAGCAGGCAGCATTCAACGCAGCAGCAAGGTGTAGCAGCAGTCAGCGTAGCAGCGCAACCTTTGCACGCACAGCCACCGCAACCAAAGTAGCCGGAAAACGTCGAGCCACCGCAACCACCGACGTCCCAGTTGAACGGCGCGCAACCCTGGCACGCAACCACCTACGGTGGTGCCGCGACGAAGAAAAAGAACAAAAACGTCCCAAAATTCGAACAATTTCGAATTAAAATCAGGATTTTCTAGCGTTTGATGTTCGAATTTAATCCCAAAACAAGATTTTGGTATCAATTTTCAATCTTATTGAATTAATTTGATGATTTTCATTCAAAATCAAATTGGGGAAAAAGTTAGGGTTCATAAAAACTTTTGAATCAAACTCTTTGATTTCAAAACGAAAATAACAATTATTTACATGATTTTGCAATTGAAATCAAAAGAAAACAAAGCCCTCAATCAACTTCAACACAACTTGTCGAATTAGAGATCAAAATTTCGATTTTGTTTCCCCTTTGTTCGTTCTTTTTTTTTTTTTTTTTTTAATAATTAAACGAATTTAATTAAATATCAAAAAGTTAATTCCAATCAATTAAACAGTCTTAAATGCTGACCAACGTCAAATATTTAACCATAGTTCAAAGTTAACGGTTTCAAAGTAAATAGGCTACGGAAGCAACTTTTTAAAACGTTCAGGGCTACCATTGAGAATTTTTTAAAAAACTGGCTACTATTGAGAATTGCCAAAAGTTCGGGGCTACCATTGAGAATTTCCCAATCATTTTTCTCTAACATCTGATGATTCTGATCACATAGTTCAACAACTACATGAAAATTTTATTATAGCTTACCTCCAACAACAAAAACACTTATGGTTTTAAATTAGATATTAGATGTTATTTTAAGGATGTGGCCTTGCATAAAAGAGTGATTAAACGCAAAACTAAAACCAACTTGACATATATAGCTAACCATTAAAAATAAACCAACTTGACACATATAGCTAACCATAAAAAAATGCTACCCTTTTTCATGACTTTGGCTCATTCTATACGCAAAATAATCTAAGAGTTCAATTGTATCTATTGGATCCAAGATTAATTGCAATGAGTGTCGAATTATAGACCTAGCTACTCAACTATATTGTATGATTAAACCCAATCGATATGACAATATTATTTCGAGTGCACTGTACATATACAACTTAGCATTTGACATAATAATACATTAACACTTCCTTATTGCATAGCACTTTTTTCCCTTTATTTTCGTTATAGTAAAAAAAAAAAAAAAAAAAAAAAAAAAAAAAAAAAAAAAAAAAAAAAAATCTACCTAATGCAGTCAATCACAATCATAAAACACCTTGTAAAAACTAACAATGACGCGTATGTCACATCTTATAATCAGAGCGTTATTATAATAACTTTGTTTTTCATTTACCTATCACTCCATACGTAATACTTAATCCATAAATCTAATTTTAAACATGATTAGTATTCTTGATACAACTTTAATAATGTTACCCTAAAATAGCAACAATTTAACCCATACAAAGAATCCCAAAATCACACCTTGAAGATTCTTTCCTGGTATTATTATTCATCCACCCAGAAATTAACTGCAGTTTCACAATTAATCATCATTATTATTTACATCTTTCTCCCACAAATTCAATTCGCAGATTAGGAGAGAGAAAATCACTGAGATACCCAGAAAAATAAAGGTTCGTTACTTTCTTTCTTCGATCTCAATTTTTATTTTTATTTGAATCTTTCATCTTCTTCAATTTGTACTTTTATTGTAGTGGTATTAATTAGTTCAATCAATGCAATGTTGCGAATTCCCTTTATTTATTTCTTTGTGATTATTACTTTTTTTTTTTTTAATCATGATTGAATAATTTATGCATTGATTACAATACCCCAGATCTGATTATTATCCTGCTTTTCGTTTTATTGTGATATTCCTATCGCTGATTTCTTGCAATTTTTGAATCGCACTCTTGTTTTTTTCTTCAATTTGGATATTATTTTTGTTGATTTGTGATGAATTTTTCGAATTGGAGAGTTACATGTTTATTGCTGAATTGTGTCAATTGGTGCTGAATTGAAGTTTCCCCAATTTTTGAAAAATTGATTGATTATTAGGGTTTTCGGGCATGAAATTTCCGATGGAATTGATAGTGTGCGAATTTCTGAGAAAATTAGTTTGTTTGGGTTATTTAATTTACTGCGTTATTCTGACAAATTATTGTTAGGAATCAGCATTCCTATTAAGAGTCAGTCAATCACATGGAAAAGTTTATAAATTCCATGTTGTAGTATGGATAGATTTAGAGGTTAGACAGTGCAATTAGAACTCTGGAGCCTGTTTCTAAAAATGGAGTCTTAAATGGTTGGGGAAGAGTAAACTATTGACTTTTTCGCCTAGTAGAAATCAAGCATTTTGTTGTGTCGAAAAGGAGCCGTGTTCCTTGCTGCAATAATCATAATTTTCCATCGGTAAACTTACAACAAAGCCCAATTTATTGATCAATCGTTGCATGATCTTGGACCATTGTCCATTGCTCCTTTTTTTTTTTTTTTTTCCAATAGAATGGTTTCTAAAGATTTTATTGAGGAGTGAGATTAATGGCCCTGGACCATGCATAAACTTACAACAAAGCCCTATTATCGATTAGTCGTTGCATGATCTTGGGACCGTTGCTCTTTTTTTTTTTTTTTCCACAATAGAATGGTTATTAAAGGTTTTATAGAGTAGCGAGGAGTGAGATTAATGGCCCTGGACCATGCATAATTTTTGCTATCAAGGGGCATTTGGGAGAAGTGATTGAACCAGGGCCAAATTCCTGGAAACTAAATACGTACACTGGCTTAGCAACCTTCACTTCCTTTTAAAGTTGTGTGCTTAATTGCTTGTGGCCAAATGGGTCAAAATTTTGATCTTCATGCATTGCTTTCTCTGTTGAAGATCTGTTTTTTTTCTTACCAGCTGTGAAAACTGGAGTACTCTTTCTACAGTCTTAATAGAGCTCCGGATATAAATATTTGGTTCCAGTTATGAAATTTGTTAGTCACAGCTCATCTTAGTTTTTTTTGCTGCTAATCATGACTTAATTGCTCTGCTAGTGACCATCTTTTTTTTTTTTTTTGGATATTTTAAGCTTTTTGCATTGCTTGATATTTGTTATGATCATTAGCAAGACAAATTATGCCAAAATTTCCATCCTTGCATTTCTGAGAAAGTAGATTACTTGTTACCTGCTGTTCATACAGTTGTGAAATTCCAGAACTAGTTTGTCTAGCTGGCCTCTTGAGCTGGTACATTTGCCTAGCAGCAAGATGTTTATGCTGATACGTATAATGTTCTTTTTCAGCAGGTTGATTACATTTTGGTTAGAGACTGAATATGAGTCTCGCCTGTCTTGTGTGCCACAGTGTAGAAAGCCCGTCACATTCATTCAGAAGTTACTCTGTGTCTAGTTCAGACAATGATGGAAGATGTTCAGCAATGGCTAACTGCTTGAGTCGGAAGCTTGCAATTCCTCCACCTAGGGGAAACCCAGTCACATCATCGTCTAAAGTGACTCCACAGCCAGATATATCAAATCGGGGTGATATTTCAGGTCCTCCGCGCCTAGTTAGAAGTCGTGCTGTCAGAAGGGACCAAGTCAGAAACTGGAATTTCGAGGTTATTGAGCTACAGCAGTAGTTTAGCTAATATGACCAAGAGAATAGACTGCTTCTCTGGGTATTGTTTAGATATAGTTAGATCCCTCGGTCTTTCATCCTCCTTTCTCTCCCACTGTCAACATTATTTTCCCACTAGCTTCTTTATGTAACTGAATTTCGTTAGATTAATGTCTTTTTCTTGTCAGGATGACTGAATTATGTCATTGTGTCCAATCTTTTACATGAAAATCTTGTGCATATTAATAATAGTCGATGTGAAGTACTCAGCTCATTATTTTAAAACTGCAGTCACAAAGGTTTAAGATAATTATATGCAATATTGTTTAAACAAAATGTTTACAATAAGCTGCAATGTGTAAATGAACAATCATAAGTTTTATGTTGTTACATTTCATAATATTGATATCAATACTCTTCTTTTGAGAAATTCCAGGTCTAGTGGTTATATCCTTAACCGCTACTTGAAGTAGTGATTTTGCTTGTAATTTTTCAATTTTAAACCTTTGTTTCTATTTTTAAAAAAACTTGGATGGCCTCCCATGTAAAGAGGGTTAGACTTGCACAATTTACCCATACAATAACACATAGGATGTCAACAAATGAACCTTAATCAAATACTCCGGAATTAACAACATACGAAGGGAGTACAACGGATCGATTTGGAGCATTTGGTGTTTGTATGTTACCCATTACACTTTTACGTTATGCCATTATAGTTCAAAATCATTATTTAGTCATTAAGAAAAAGAAAATGTATGGGAAATTTTAAAAATCACATCATTTGTTATTTAAAAATGTTAGGGTAACATCTAATAACGAGAGATTCTACACCTCATTCCTCAACCTACATACAGTTCATACTAGAAAATAAAATAAAATAAATAACGAGGGCCATTCACTCTCTAACAAGCCCATGCATTCATAGTAAGAAGTAAGAACCCAAAAATTAAAGCTAGCCCATTATTATGAAAAAACTTTATAAATTCATCCTTCATCATCAAGACTGGAGTTTCTGAACTTACAAATTTTTACACTCACTCCACTCAGCAAAGAATAATACTCTGTACTTCAGTACTTCTGTAGCAGAAACCCAGAATCCGTGACTACTTAATCATTCAAACAGTGCTGCGAAAAAATGGCGTTGAAGAACAACACTCCATTATCATCTTTCCCATGTTCAATTCCCTCTCTTCTCCTCTCTTTCTCTCTCCTCTGTAACCTTTTTTTCATCTTCTTCAATCGACCCACTTCCATCTCCAATGACCCCACTTCGATCTCTCAATTTTTCCAGAAAAATTCCCTCAATGTTATGGACTATTGGAGAAATACTGGTCTTTACCCCCTGATTCTCGGATCCCCAGTGACCCGGATCACGAACCCGGCTCGAATCGAAAACCCGGAATCCTTGAGTTCCCAGAAAATCCATTGATAAAACAGTATAGTGCTGAGTATTGGATATTGGGTGATCTTATGACACCTCAGAATTTGCGAAGTGGGTCTTTTGCAAATAGGGTTTTTGATGCAAAAGAGGCGGATGTGATTTTTGTGCCGTTTTTTGCAACTTTGAGTGCTGAAATTCAGCTGAGTTTGGATAGAAGCGTTTTCAGGAAGAAATCTGGGAATGAAGATTATCAGAGGCAAAGAGAAGTTCTGAATCTGGTTAAAATTCTGAGGCTTGGAAATTATCTGGTGGCCGTGATCATGTTTTTGTTTTGACAGGTATAATGTTTCGTACTCTTATTAATTAAATGTAATTAGCTTTCTAAATTTGTGAAAATTGCATGATTTGTTAGGATTGTATGGTATATGGTTGCAACTGAAAACTTGATGGTTTTTTTTATTATATGGTGTATTGTTTACCACTTTGATAGGATTCAATATAATGTAGAAATATTAGAACCAATGATGTTACGTGCTTTAAGCTTCTATTGAGTTATAATTAAGTGTCTGTAATATGCATCGTTCCGGAGGTGTAATTAAGCACTATCTGTTATGTGAGATATGATATGTGTTGTAGATGTTGTTGGATGGTAATTGTATGGACTGGACTCAAAGAGTGTGTTGTGGATATTCATTATAGCAGTCCTTGGCAAGCTGTACCGTTCTTTTAGCTATGAGATTTGGTACTCTATAAATGACTGTAAGTCATTGCCCTGTGCTGTAGGGTTTGAATATTGTTGGTGGTTTAGAGTTAAATATCAGTGTCCAAAAATAGACTGGGTTTACTACAATGGACCCCTATGTTATACGGTTTAACTTGAATCTTTTCACCCTTCATCACAATTTCACATAGCCATCAAGGAATCATGGTCTTTAGCTTAGCAGCTTAGCTATTTGATCTGTGTAGTCCTTCTACTGCCCAAAGGTATCTAGAAAATGACACTCAAATGGAAATTTCACAAATACGAAGTATTATAGAAGGGAAAGCTATAATGAGTTTACTTGCTGACTGCTGAGTACCAGGTTAAGGGCTTGACTGGCCTGTTGTCTGAGCTGCTCACTTATAATTTGGAGAAGGGGTGGTTTCGTGGTTTCTTTATTATTGGCGTAAGAAAAAGCTGTATGGTCTTTTACTTACTAAAGTACCTTCGTCTGGACAGGACATTTTTATTTTTATTTTTAATTCTGTGACCTTGCAACATTCATTCCCTTGTTTGGCTCTTTCATTCTGGAAAGAAGGGAATTCTACGTGTTGATTTTTTTTCTTTTTGGGTTGAGTAATTGATTGTGCAAAAATTTCTATTGCTAGATATTACCTTTCAAAAATATATGGTCTTTATTTCATTGTATTTCTTTGCCAAAGAGGTGCTCTAAATTAGAAAATATGAAGAAAAACCAGGAACTTATGGAAAAAATTGTATGATCTCCATTGGGAAATAGTTATCATTGCTCGGTATTGGCATTAGTTGATGTAAAAATCTCAATAAGAACAACATGATTGTAGTGAAGGGGACTGGGGAGCACAGTTAACAAAAAATCATGAATTTTTTATGTTTATAAGTAATCGTGGCTGAAAATAACATTACTATATTTTGTGGTAATAGTGAGTTATGAGAGAGATTCAAATTGAGATTATAAATTAGCAGTCACATTAGATGTGATTTTTAAGAATAATGTATTATAAAAGTGTGTATTTTATGGTGATGTCATTAAATGCATGCAACTCGCTGTATATACTTCATGGCTGTATGCGCTGAATATGTAATAGTCTCTTACAACTTAAGCAACCTTTGTTCGGCAAATTTATGGCTTATTAACCTAATCGCCTTGTATGAGCCAATATTTTAAACCATGGGTTAATATTTAGTAATGTCCAAATAGCCGATGTTAGACCTCAAATGACTGTGTTGTGCATCACTTACATTTGGTGCCATAAAGGATTATGGTCGTCTGTTTGAGGTTAATATAACCAGTGGACAAACTGGACACTTCCATATGAACTTTTCTCGAAATTTTCATTGTTTACATGAAGCAATTATTCTTTTTGGCATTTAATGTTGGGCTTAGTGTAGTCAGTGTCATGCTAGCCAATTAGGTTTCTGCTGATGATTTCTTTGGGAAGGAACAGTGTCAAAGCCTGTCAAGATTATATCCTGGCGATCTGGTCTAATGGCACCTAGGATACAAAGGGTTTATAATCCCACCTTGTTCATCTCTTGACCTTTACTTACATTATCAATTTTCATCAAGTGTTTACTACTTAACTGTGCTCTCAAACTCTCACTAGCTATCAGGTCATCCAATTTTCTTTCTAGAAATGTTCTGTGTTTGGGAAGATCCTGCAGCCTGCAGGCATGACTTAGCCAGCACAATAAGTCCTTTCAGGTCTCTTCTACGTTGTAAGTAGATATGCGATGTTGTCAGCCTTGGATTGTTGTTTGGACTATATGTAATTCCCTCTAATTTTCCTTGAAATAATTTGCCAGTCCTATGTATAAACCTATTATGTATGAGTTATCTCTTTGCCTGAGAAGTACTGGATTTGATGTAGTTCATTGCTGTTATCATTGGGATGGCCCTTAATATGCCTTCAGCATGGCTCTTTGTTGCAAAAATATTTTGGAAAACGGTTGGATTTTTTACCTCTCTCTCTCTCTCTCTCTCTCTCTCTCTCTCTCTCTCTCTCTCTCTCTAGATCTTTCCTTAGTAATTTAAAATAATTTTTCATGCATGATTTGTGGTTTTTAACTTGGGTTCATAATGGTCCATTGCTCAGTTCTATTTTTGTTCCTGATAGAAACCATAACATACAAGTAATGCTGTGCGCTTTAGCAGCTTATGGTTTAGTGTCTGGATTCTCAGGTTGTTTTAAACCTTGAAGCATTATTTGGCAGACCCTGTTGCAATGTGGCATGTTAGAGATGAGATTTCCCCAGCCATACTTCTTGTTGTAGACTTTGGTGGGTGGTATAGACTTGACGCAAAGTCATCCAATGGCAACTCATCGGAGAGGATTCGACATACACAAGTTTCTTTGCTGAAGGATGTGATTGTTCCATACACCCATCTGCTCCCTGCATTGCGCTTATCAGAAGATCAGCCACGGCATACCCTTCTTTACTTTAATGGAGCTAAACATAGGCATAGGGTCAGTATTCTATTCATTGTTTGTTTATTGGTTTTTCTTTATTAGCCATAAGTTCCATTGTGTCATTCATGGTGTTGTTGGTTGGAATATATTTTCAATCAAGCCAAAATACCTTCATGAGGTTTTATACTTATTGGGGGAAAGACATGAAAAACATAATCGTTGGGCATTGAAATCTTTTGACAATTCTTAGAATATCAATCACTTTTCTCATAAAGTAGAAATTTTTTTTCCATTCAGAAGACTTAAAATGTTTCTCCTTACTATCTTGTAATCTTGTTTTCAAATGACAACATAAAGGAAGATATATTCCACCCAACCAAATGCCAATAAGCAATAGAGAACATTCTCTGATCTGAAGCTAAATCTTGTATGCAGGGAGGTGTAGTTCGAGAGAGATTATGGGACTTGCTAGTAAATGAACCTGGGGTAGTTATGGAGGAAGGTTTCCCCAATGCCACAGGTAAAGAGCAATCAATTAAAGGGATGAGAACCTCAGAGTTTTGTTTACATCCTGCTGGAGATACACCAACATCATGCCGCCTTTTTGACGCCATTCAAAGTTTATGTATTCCTGTCATAGTCAGTGATAGAATTGAATTGCCATTTGAAGGGATGATTGATTATTCAGACTTTTCAGTTTTTGTGTCTGAAAATGATGCACTGCAATCAAAATGGCTTGTATCTCATCTTCAAAGCATTTCTAAGAAGCAAAGAGAAAAATTTCGCAGAAACATGGCTCTAGTTCAGCCAATGTTCGTGTATGATAATGGCCATCCTGGCGGTATTGGTCCAATTCTACCAAATGGAGCAGTGAATCAAATTTGGAAAAAGGTTTACCAAAAGCTGCCAATGTTAAAGGAAGCTATAGTTCGAGATAGAAGAAAACCACCTGGTGTTTCAATTCCACTTCGCTGCCAATGTATCTGATGTTATATGTAAACCCCTTTGTGGCTTTTTTCTTACGAGTCCCTCATACATATATTTATCTTTAGTTTGACTAATTTAATGAGAATCGTTTGTTGTTGATTTGCAATCAAAGGAATTTCCCCCAGATCCTGTTTTTCCATAGTTTTCTAATGTTACTGTTACAGTGTTACTACTTCGGTCATTGGTATTATGGTATATATTATTGACATGTTATAGTGCATTGATATTCAAACAAATAATAATGCGTGAAGGGAGTACTAAGCTGATTTTTTCCATCTTAAGGTTGCAAATACAGGGGATGTGTCTGTAGCAAAAAGGGATGGCAGATACCCCTTCTTTTACTAGGAAACAAAACAAATAAAAGACTTACTACAAATCCAACGACCAAAGGAACAGTGTTGGTCACTTTTCTTGGAATTGCAGGGTAATAACATTGCTGAACATCATTGTGTAACGCAGCAAAAGTCAGAAATGCAATTACCGACAGCAATGTATGGAAGAGATCGGACCATCTCAGCTTGTAATCAGATGGAATGAGGGGGCTCTTCCGACCTCCGTTGAAGGTCCATATTCCTCTGATGGTTGCTATCCCATAATATAACCCCCCATTTGCAGCTCTGAAGCTGTCAGTTATGGAGAAGAAGATGCAGGAAACAGAACAAAGTGCCCAGAAACTGCCCATGAGCCATCTGTCTAGAGTACTGCACTTGCCGTCATTTGTCAGGAGGGGAGTGAAGATAGTGTAAGCTAAAATCGTAAAACTGGGCAGAAGAACATTGAGCCGAGCAGTGCCACTAAGGATGGCATTGAGAATATACATGCAATAACGTTCATCTATGCCATCATCCAAGTAATTAGAATTATCAGATTCATCAGCTGCAAGTAGAGTAGCATTGATTGATTCATCCATTTTGGTGGGGATGGAACGGTAGTTTTTTTGCATGTATTGCGGAGGCACAAGTCATCCATTTAAAGACTTCTAGTTTTTTATGTTTGAGCATCCTTTGCTTTCTGCTCAATCCAGATATAGCAAGAATCTCATTGTTTTAGAAATGAATTATACCTTTCCATTATTTACGGAGTAGGCAAGAACCTATTTGGTCTCATAATGCCTACTTTGGAATTGTTCCTCTTTGACTTCGCTGTGAAGAAATTGGTTTCAGTTTTTAATGGATTACATAAGCTTAATCCGCCTACTCTGCCTTAAGTTCAGGAAAAACGTCTGAAAAGCTAGAATCAAAAATTATATTCGCAGAAACGGCTGAAAACCTGCACACAGTTGGCTTAATTCTAACGTATAACGAAGATAGATCAACCAACACTCGACTCCCTTGTAGACCATAAAAAAGTTATTAAGGTAAGAGGACTTTCATTATACAAAGTATAAGGTACCAAGGTAAAAAGCCCTCGATTAACAATTAGGAAGGACTTCATATTTGTGGATAAAATAAGCATATTCAAGAAGCAGCATACAAACAATTATCTTCTTGAATTAGACGATCAGGATACCAATGTTCAACATTCAACTGTTCACAGAAACAAAAATAGTATAAAAAATAGTTTCAGTATAGTAGTTTTCAGCTTCAGCATTATCAAAGCTCCAAATATATGCTTTGTCGTCATTACCGCAGCTTGCTACAGAATTTACAAAATTTTCATGCGTATATAGCTCAACCTGCACACAGTTGGCCTAATTCTAACATAACATATACCCAGTTATCTGCTAAATAATCGCAGCATAACCGGTTGTTATGTGCAGCAGCAGTAGCAATCTATGTACAGTATCAATTTTTAACTGTAAAAAAATAAAAAAAAAATAAAAAAAGGGAAAGAAAATTAAAGTGCAAATGAGTAAAGAATGTTGAACTGAAGCTAATCTTGGGTTGGAAGACTATCTAGCTCCTCCTTGCGCTTCTCTTGGGTTGGAACACCAATTAGCTCCTCCTGCTTCTCTGACTTTGTGACAGATATATCATGAACTTTGACGCCACAAAGTTTGCAAGGATTGGAAGATCTGTTTGAACACCAGTGATCTGGGACAGTCAGGAAGTGAGTGTCCATGAACTTCCTAAACCTTTTCTTATATTCTTGTGGTGAGATAATGGTTGGTGAGGAATTCTTGGGAACAACAAGAGATGACTTCACCCATGTTTCAAATTGCTTATCCCAAGTGTATTGTCTTAGATAATCTATGATCCCACATATCAGCTCTCGGCGTTGCCTATCAACCCCCACCAATAAAGAATAATCCATGACTCCTATATTCTGCCATGAAAGGAAGAAAAAATGATCAGAAACAAAAGGTACACCATAAGGCCCTACCCATCTAATCCCTAAAGATAAATGTTAGTAAATGTCAACTTTCACCAATGAAAAATAGCTTTAATTAGTAAAAGGGAGTACTGGATATGAAAGCAAAAAGAAAAAAAGAAAAGAAAAATAAAAAACTCTGTAGAACCAGCATAAATTATTTTGAATTGGTGAAAATCAGTTATTAGCAGTAAAATTCAGTTCTAATAAGCAAAAATCAGAATTTTCATTTCAATTTAGTCCAAAATCAGGTAAAGAGAGCAGAGTCTAGGTAACTTGATATATACTTGTATATATATAAAAAATAATAATAATAATAATAATAATAATAATAATAATAATAATAATAAAAATAAAAAAAAATGTAGATTAACTAGATTTCATTCATTCTATCCTGCATTCATACATGGGGTGAGGGTAGAGGATGCAACCAAAATAAGATGCTATGCAGATCATCAGAACTTACTTTGAGAAATGTTGTATCATTCCAGACTGCCCGTTGTAGAAGTCTCTTAGCTTTCTGGCCAACATATAAAGGTGATGAATTCATGTCATTCACAAAATTCTGGTCCAATAGAACATCTCCTGCACCATCAGCAGTTGTGGTGAAACGAGCATGCAATGCACCCTTTAAATCATACTGACGAGTAATGTTCCTGCCAAAAGAAAGGTTCTCCTGAACCATGAGATCATGCTTTGTCTCTTTGCCGCTCTTGGGATTTCTAATAGTGACCTGCAAACACGGATGCAAAGATTAAAAAAGGTCCATGCATAAGGCAATTATCGATATAAAAAGTGAAAGCAAGGATGAAACCATGTAGAAATGTATTCAAACCTGATAAATTCCCAGAATTTTCGCAAGGCAAGTCTGATTCCCAGAGTAAACAGATTCCTTCATGTGCTTAAAATACTCATTGGCAAACTTCATGAACGACTCAAATTCAGTCTTCTTAATTTCCTTGACAATAAGCCTCTCGTCAAGTGTTTTGGCAAAGACAGACTTGCTCTTCCCACCTTTGGCATCCCAAATTTTACAGCGACTAAGGGAAGCAATATAATCAAGTTCTGATGGGCAGCATCTTTCCCGAAGATCGCGGAATTCAGTGGGATGTATAATAACTACTGAATATTTTCCCTTCATAGGATACTTTTCAATGCCTAGAATAACTTCGTTGTACACTCGCCCATAAGAAACAAGAGAATCCACTCGATTCAAGCTGTCAATGCTGGATAGATGAGATTCTGTGAAAGTCATGCTTGATGAAGAATGAATAAAATCTGGATCATGAAAGCTGCTCAAAGGCCAAGGCTCAGATGTAGCACGTTTCAGAGAAGTAAATTCATCTCTAATTGATGCTGGAGGGGCTGAAATTTCCATTAAGGCCAACGCACAAGCGACGGAGCTTGAGATTTCACCATCAAAATCCGATACAATGAAGTCACCATCTCTGAGAGGCATGTGAATCCTGGTACCCTCATCAATGATTACTTGAGATACTGTAGGCAAGAAGTCAGGAGAGTGTAGCAGTTCAAATTTGGGCAAGTGACCGAATTTAGACGGGCGGCCTTCCAGAAGATCCTCCATGCACTCATTTCGAGTTTGTTTAAATGGATTCCACCACGGGGAGTCTAACTTCAGCAGAGAAGTTATTCTTTCAGATACCTCTCCATCAGCAGAGCAACTACTATCTTCCTTATCCGCATCAATGGATATGCTTCTATCTTCCGACAGATGGCTAGACAGTGAAACACTGTCCTGTTGAGTAATCTCATCAGAATGAAGATGGGAAGGAAGATCTGTGCTCCCATTAGACTCTTGAGACAATGATATACTTGAGACTAAATCATCTGAGGGTGGCATCACAGTATTCTCCTCGACAATGGGCAAGCTTATCAAGTCTTGCTCTCCACGGCATACAAGGATTCCCTCATTTGGGAATTCCTTATCTAAATGATTTTCTGTTTCTGCAACCATCTCAATTTGGACCTCTACATCATTAGGGTTCTCAGAAGTTCTGTCATAACCATGTGCAATAACTTCATTCTCAATCTTTAAATTAGAATGGCCATCTTCAGTTCTCTGTACTCCAATTTCTTCAGCACCTCCATTGTTTGACCCAGTTTGTCTTTCCACCACCTTAGTAGTAGTTTCCACTGTCCCGTCACTATGCTCTTTTTCTGAATCCACAAGCGCTTGCGAATCATTATCAGCAATCTTTTGTATCATTTCACCCTCTGTTCCAGATCTGTGCTTTTCCAACAGCATTTGCTTTTGTGCTGTTTCTGCAGCTGTCTTAGACTCTTCAGTTACTTTTCCAGGGAAGCCATCCTCCTTCAAACCCAGTTGCCTCTGCGCCACTTCATTATTGTCAGTAACAGTAGACTGGGGAAATTCACGGGAAGAAGAAAGTAGTGACTGCAATCGCCGGTCCCAAATACATGCTTCAAGCATAATTTCCCATCGAAGTCGGTTCATGCTCAGAAGTTTATGCACAGAGTCATGTGAATCTTCATTCTTATTTTTAAAGTTCTCCTGTTTTTCACAATAATACAGCCAAAATAATAAGATAATCTTAGTTTGGGTTTTGGAATGCAGTGATGCACTACATCCAAGTGCCGTGACATGAGCGAGTGCATAATTACTTTGGCATTCATTTAAGTTAAATTTAAGACAGAGAATCAAGGCTAATGCTAACTGGGATGACTAAATAGAAAAAAGAAAATGAAACAATGATGATGAAGAAGGAGAATGGTTCCCTATATCCACTCAAGCAGTGAGCACAGATCAGGAATTCAGGATACATGAAAGCTCACATGCATGGAAAAGGAAACTTACTTCAAATTCAGACTTTTCCAACTTCAACATGTCTACAATGTCAGCAAACCCTTTTGAATATCCATTAAGAACCAGATTACAGCCAGAAAAGCGAGATTCAATTTTTTTCAAGTATTTTTCAAGTTCATTAAAAAGGCATAGCCCTGAAGTGTAGACCTGCAAGGAATAGAGGGAAGGAAACTAATTAAATCTTACAGAAGAAACCATTTGGCACCTTTCTTCCATACAGAATCTTAAAAAAGAAAGGGCATACCGTCCCAATATCGGATTGGAGCCAGTCTCTGTCAATTAAACTATTGAACTCCAACTTGTGGGCTGGCACAGAAACGGTATATATTGCAACACGAGAGTACTGAAACATAGCAACCATAGAGCCCAGACTGCAAGTCGTGTAATAAATCAGAAGGTCATATAGAACAGTGAACGATCATATTTACAGTCGAAACAGAAACAATGACATTTGATTACACTTTTTGAACAAAGTTTCAAGCCAGATACTTGCATTTCCAACCATTAGAAAGAGCTTTCCTAAGAGCACAGGGTTGAAAAAGTTTTTCCTTAATGCAGCCAGTAAACTAATCAAAACAAGGATAAAGTGCAACACTGTCATTAGAAAGAGTTCTGAGTTCTGAGTTGAAATAGGACTTTGTTTCTAAAATGTAATTAAAAGGGCTCTATCTTACGGAGTAGTAATTAATACCACAAAACTAAACAAAAGTGTACAATAGGGAAAATAAGTAAGCAAAAATTAAGCATATAGGACA